GGGGGGGGGGGGGGGGGTGTAAAGGGGCGGAAGTAAGAACGGGAAAATTGCGTCTTACTTATTTTCCTAATTTAAAATAGTGTCTCATTTTTTTTTTCTTCAAGATAATATAAAAACGTTTGAGTTTTTAGTTTGGGTGTTGTAATAAATAGTATATCAGAGTTATTAATTATCGCTTCTTAAAGTTATCCAAAGTCCAAGGGGTTGTCTTCCAAGAGTGTAACCGAAATCATCTATCATACAGTTCATACAAATCTATATTTCAAAGGTAAGCCTAATCGACTATAAAATGATTGTTTATTTTTTTTAAATATGTTTTTATTTTTTTGAAATATTTTAAGCTCTTTTGGAACATAAAATTTCCCTGACAAAATTGGGACAACACAATCGAAAAATGAATTCCTTTTAACTTTTACGAAGAGTGAGAGGTGAGATGGCATTTCATAGATGCGAGAAAAAACGTGTTTTTTAATAACAGATGGCCTATATAAATTGTTGCATACACATTTAAAAATCCTAACTATCGGTAATTGATCAACAGGGCCATGTTACTTTATCTCATAAGTTACAATTACAAGTTGTTGTTTGTTTTTTAAAATGTTATTTCTAAGGTTCAATTTGTATTTGAATTTTTTTTTAAATAATGAGAAGTAGAAGCCAATTTTGTAACATTTTTATTTTCATTTTTATTATTTATTTATTATCTGAGTTGGTGTGGGGACTTTCTCAAATACTTCGTAAAAATTGGGGGGGGGGGGGGGGGGCAGAATATGGACAAGATTGGGAAAACTCTTTAGTGAGGAGCCGTCCATCCATAAGGTACGGCACGCTATTTTTTGTTTTTTTTACCCCTTCCCCCTGTCAGAATTCTCACACCCTCCCCTCTAACTCAGGCCTATGTTACACTTTCGAACTCAAAAATAGTTTACAAACTAAAAACTAATTACTAACATAAATTTTTAATCTAAAACACACTGACAATGAAATTTATGAAAGTGAAATATTCTGTAAGAATGCATCTATCACAACAGAAAGTTCAACATCACTGTTAATACAGCCAGTTTCAGGTTTTATTTGTATGATATAATCTACCCTCCCCCCGTGTCACAAACTGTCACACTTTCTTAGACACCCCCTCCCCCCTCCGTAGCGTGACGTGCTTTATGGAAGGCCCCTAAAAGAGATTTCCGATTCTTTTAAATTTTTTTCCCCACTTCGACTTGTGTTTTTATTTTCCCGGCGTAATATCTATATTTAGAAACATCAGGACGTAAATTAAGACTTTATTGTAAACAATTTGTTTTACAAATAACTGCATACCGGCGATAGGCTAAAACTCTGGGAATCCTTGGGGGAAATAGCGCGCGCTGGACTTTCGCGAGGAATAGTGATGATGGTTTTTCATGGGCTAGTGCGTAATAAAATATCGGATGGGACATAATATTAAACATAAATATAATAATATTAATCCATGGGTTTACTAGGAAATATATTTCTTTTTTTTTTTTTTTTTCCAAGATTTCCACAAGGGAAACGATGTTGAGATTGATGAGAAGAAATGTGACTCTGTCACGGTTATTTTCTGTAAAAAATAATGAAAAACTTCATAGCATTTTTATTTAAATTAAAAAAAAAAATGATTTTAAAAGTCTTGCAAAATTTATTTCGACACACTTTAATAGTGCATTTGCCACGCGCAGCTGTGTGACCTAAATCGTGTCAATTTCAATCTTGTGAAATGGGAGTTCCAGCAAGGCCTAGACAAGCAAAAACATCACCATCACACCGGGTAGACTCGTTAAACGTAGATGACAACTCATCTAACAGAAGGAAAACTATAAACCCGGAGATGGAGTCCCGTAGGCGGTATGATATTAATCTAATGAAAATTCCGACAACTTCTGCCATGCTGTATCATCACCACATTATGTTCCCGTGTGTCCGCCAGATGCGTGGAGTCAGCCGATTCGCTGCGAAGAGAACACGCTTTTCCCCTGGGAAAAATCTCAGGGTTTGTGACTTCGTCCTGCGAAGTCTACGCTAACGTCAGATTGTGGCAGGGGAAAAAAGGTCACACGTTTTGATTAAGGAAAGGGTTGCCCACGACTGCTCTAGCAGATAATATAGGTTTTAGCACTATTTAAAAAAAAAAAAATTGAATTTCAGCAGCACTAGGCCTACAGCAGGGGGTTGTATTCTTAAAGTTTTAAATTAATGGAGTTGTCCTAACTTGCGAGATTTTAAATTAAGCCTACTAGTCTCAGTCTTTTATTTTTCTTCAACAAAATCTAGTTCAGACTTACTGGCATTATGGATAACACTACTTCAAACGAATCTACCACGGGAATCGCCTCCGGACTTGAGGAATTGCTGGAGAATATCATCCTTCGTTGCGACACCTGCCATTCTAGATTTGACCAGATCAAGCACACACCAAAGATGTTGCCCTGCGGGCACACGTTCTGTCAGGGTTGCATGACCAGCGTTGGCTTTTTGACCAAGACTTATCCTGATGTTTACAGTTTAGAATGTCCAGTCTGCAGATGCCATCATCCCTTGCAAAATAAAATCGAAGATCTGCCCAACAACTATACAATCATCAAAGTTCTTGACATTATTAACAGCATGATCTTCGAGTTCTCAAACGGAGGTTGCCATAAGAATGTCAAGGCTGTTCAGGCAATGGGTGAATATCGACCCCGGGTTAAGGAGTCAATGGTGAAAACAGTTGAAACCCAAAGAGATTCAGTTGCACCTGCAGGCTGGCAGGACAAAGTGAGTTGTTACATCACTTCCAGTTTACTGGTATATTAGTTATGAACTAACATTTCAAAACTTTGTTTCTTCATATTAAAGAAAAAGCTAATAATTATTTAATATGATATAATTTGTCCACCTTTATACAGACAATATATTTTTTTAATATACATGAATTTTAATTATTATTTTTTTTTTAAAATCTGATTTTAAATTAGAAAAGAGAAACCTTCTTGACTCTGACATTCAATCCTGATGATGAACGCACGGAAGTATTTATATCATATACAAACCCTGACGATCTGCCATCAATGTATTTTTCATGAGACATGGATGGGTAATACTAGTTACATGCAATTTTTTTTTTGAGATAACCCTATTGGGTTTGAGCAAGGATTAATTACCTTTAAATTTGGACCTTTTCTTAAGGCATATTAATATAAAAACAAATTACACCATTCAGAAAACAAATAAATGTAAACATTGGACCATTTAAGATAGCCTAAAAATTAATTTGACTTGGACCATTCATCTTACATATAGAAAAAATAATATTAGAATTAGAACCATTCATAAAATAGAACATTATTTTTTTAGAAATACAATTTACGTAAATAATTTAATCATTTTTAAAATGTATCATTATATTTATTTAAAATAGGATACATATACTATAGAGATTCGCAAAGTCAAAGCTCCTGTCATTTCAGAATATGCAGGTCTTATTGAAGGCTGCAGATGTTCAAATATGATAATTTCCTCGGATAATTTAATATTCAACCATTTTTTTAAAATTTATAAGCATACTATATTTGGTTGAAGTTCTCCACAAAAAAAAAAAAAGACCAAAATAATTACTTAATTTTTAAAAATGATTGTGTCTTTATTTCTGTTTTGTTACAACACTAAGTTACAGATACAATTGTAACTTTTCACGAATTCATTTTATAGCTCGTTGATTAGATTTCCAAATAAAGTTAAAATAAGTTAAGCCTAAATTTCTGACTAGGAAAATTATTTGATGTAGTACATAATGCTGATTGTTGACATAGAAATGATTTATTTATACATTATTTTAAACCAATAACAGGTGCAGCCCTTACACTACACTTAAGGACTCTGCTGCGTTGAACGTCAAAACTCCAATCTGCCAGACCCTGTCTGGAGGCTATTTTCATGGCTTGGCAGGAGCTCTGAGGATTTTGGAATGTGGGGCCTTGCATATGCTAACACTAGATCAACATTGCTTCGCTGTAGGTGAAAGACACTGAGTGACATTATCAATTGTTAATTGAATATCTGTATTCTATTTTATCAAAACTTGTGTAAAAAGATTAATCATCATAAATGTTCCACCATATTTTTGCATTTGATCATATGCTTATAAAAAAAACCTTTATGATTATGCAACAGAACAACATCCCTCTAACATATGAGAACACAAGAACAAAATTAAGCTTATTTTGAAAAATTATTTTGATCTAACTGTCAAATATTTAGCTTGAAACACTAAAACACTTTCAAGTAATTGAGTGTACTCAAATGTACCACTAGTATACACAATTTAATTTCTCATCATTATTCAACAGCTTGGGATCCCGCTTTTAAATCACTGGTGGAAAATTTCGGTAAAAGTATGGCCAAAAAATATTGCGCACTTATTGGTAGAAATTATCAATGTATATTCACGAAAACCCTCCACAGATATTTGCAGTATATTGATTGCATGTTATTTTCCTCTTTGATGTGTTGAAGTCGAGTGGATGCAAGCTCCTCAGACATGGAGTGGGTGCAGGCTCATCACTATTGATTTACTTTAGGCGTGGATACAAATGTAATGGATCTGTGACAGTGTTGGGAAGACATGCAACTACAGATGAGAAGATAAAATCTCATTATGATATTATCTCTTTGTTGGGGTCCCCCCGTAGGTTTTTAGTTATTCTGAGACCTAAGAGAATAATGTTTAATACTCAAAGGAAACTGACTATGCATAGGCCATATTTATGGGGTCAATTTAAATCTTCTGTATGTCTACTGAAGAGAGTTTAAATTTTAACTCTTAATTTTCACCCAATTGAGGTGAAAAAATTCCTTACCATTCCAGTCAACATTTACCTCGACAGTGATACTACTTTAAAAAAATTTAAAGTCTACATAACCTCTGGCTCTGACTCTTTCACTTGAAAATTTAATCAGTCTTCTAAAATTAAAACTAAATGAAAGACTCCTTCAGGTTTTAAATATGTTCATCACTATTTGAGTTTCGCATCAGTAGCCTGTTGCACTAATGACATAACCATTACTTACATTAATGAATAAAAAATGAAATTGTAATTGCTTAGATTAAAAAAAAAATGTTCATATATATATATAATATATATGTATATAAATTTAAAAAATTAAAACATATCAAATAAAATCAATTATATCATATCCAAATATTTCACTAAAATTATTAAATTAAATCTCTTATAATACTGTATCCAAATGATTTTGATTTCACTCATAAATATAATTGTTATTCTTCTACGATTTTCTTACTTTGTACATTTTCAATAAGGGAGAAATCGTCTCCTAAATTTAATAACAAATAATTGTAAATACTTATATTTAATTTAGTTTATTATTTTTAAAAAATCTTGTTATTGTTATGATTCTTTTATTATTTGCTTCAATTTAATTATTTTTTGTAGCAATTTTATATTTAAAAATGTTCTAATTAACTATAATACATTTCCATGATGCATTTTAGTCATTTACTTATGTATATACTACAAAGACAGACTTTTAATGCTGAAGTAAAATATAAATAAGTTAATAAATGTTGTACAAATGGATAACCTTGATGAACACGCATGTTCCATGATTTCTAATGAAGTTTTTCTGATGCTTTAGTTTTTTAAATTTTGATTAACTCCCAGGAACCAATTACAAATGAAAAACAGAGTTTAATTATGCAACACATATTATTTACTGTAAATAGCTTACATGACTTCACACACATTTTGTGGCAAAAATCTAAATTTATATTATTTTTATTCAATTCAAAGCATTTTTTTTTAAATGATAAAAAACAACTTGTTTGCTTCAACTTGAAATTTTATTAGCTCATGATAACATTGACATTTTGACTTGTTTTGTACATGTTAACAAATTCATTTAATTTGAAAACGTACATAAAGTTTTTACAGTAGTGAAAAGCATTGCCAGACAATGGGAACAGATCTATTCCCTTACACCAATGACACAGTCCGACAGTCACTCATTTCACTATTAGTGACAATAGAAACACAATTCTCAGTTTGACATGAATAAATCTGGGAAGATTTTAATTTTTTTTTAAATTAATAAAAAGTTGCTCAAAATGAAATTTGCATATTTGTTTAAGGGTTATCCATTTTTTTATGCACAGTTGTCCCTCCTATCATCTCCTCAAACTATTCAATTTTTAAAAAATATGATGCATTTTTCTAAGCATACAGAGGGAACCAGGTTTACTAGTTAGTAATACATTTTTTTTTCTAAGTAAAGTACACTGATGCTGTAGAATCAACTTTTTAAAAAAGCTGATATGAAATGAGAATTGGTATACGCTGCCAGAACTACCCTTCATTAAGAGCAAGAATTCAAATATGCTTGGACAAGATCTTTGAGTTAAAAAAAAAAAAAACACTGTTGTTGAAAGTGTGACAGACCCATGTCAAGATGCCATGACTAACTCATAAATGTTGCATGTGTACAAACCCATAGGTCTAAACCCTTGCCCAAACACAAAATCATCTTATTTGGCACACCCCCCTCACTCATTGCATACATAATATACGGATAACCCCATTCACTATTTTAGAAATAAAAAAAACAATTACGTTTATTATAAAGTTTCAGAAATATGTAAAATTTGACATGTGGGTCAATAATTTCATATTCATTATCTTAAACTTAAATAGGTTGGTTTTTTTTCATGCGTAAAGACATTAACTTCCCCATTTGCCTGCATGAATAACGGCAACCCACAAGAATTATAACCCCGTAATTCATAGCTAATTGGGTGGGGCATTTACTGCAACAGTTTTTGTTAAAATGAAAGCACACTGTAATATGGTGAGATATCTGACACAATCATCAGTATTATGAAATGTCATTTAGGTAGTTAGAGAGGAATATTAATTCTAGTACAAAGGAATAAAATCTCTTTACAAAAAAAAAAAAAAAATCATACAACTGGAGGAGGAAATTTTTTCTTGCAAAAACTTTTATGCATTTATTTTTTTATATAGACAAATTAAAAAAAAAAAAAAAATTTAGGTAGTTAGAGAGGAATATTAATTCTAGTACAAAGGAATAAAATCTCTTTAAAAAAAAAAAAAAAAATCATGAAACTGGTGGAGGAAATTTTTTCTTGCAAAAACTTTTATGCATTGATTTTTTTATATAGACAAATTAAAAGAAAAAAAAACTGGTCAGCTGCTAAAATCCTCCACAAAATATTTACATTTTACACACATATCAACATATAATGAGTATGGGGCAATGAAATTCAACTCAATCATTTTTGCTATTTTGGATCTGGTGTATAGTATTATTGAAACTATTCCATTTTTATGTTGCATTAGTAAGACTTGTCAGTTAATGAGTAGAAATAACTTTTTAATTCATCTTTATTATAAAAGACGACAGATCAATTTAAACTGTAAGGGTATTATTATCACAGCAATTTATTTAAAGCCTCAGTCCTCCTCTTTATGCAACACAATTATTTCTTAAAATGAATGCAAGGGATCTGTTGATTAAGTAGAGTCAAATAGTGGGTGACAATGTTTTATTTTAATATTATTCCCCATCAATATTTACAAAGACATCCACTGGTATGGCAAGCATGTAATGCACAAAAAAATGGCAATTATATCCCACAAATGAGTAAGTCATAATTATTAGTCAGTCACCCACAGTACCATAGGTGCCATCCCTCCCAAAACAGTTCCCTACTGAAGAATATCACTTCAACTCTGGTACCTTTAGTACATTATAAGTCAAGGTGGTTTATTTAATTTGTAATTAGATGAATTTAGTTGCATTTTCAACAAAACAAAAACAGTTTAACCTCTACCAAGGTCAGAGAAATAATAAATGAGTGCAAAAACGTAGCATGCTCTACATTAGTAAACAAAATAATAATTATGTCCCCTTAAAGTTTGAGAAATAATAATTATGTCCCCTTAAAATTTAAGATCATGTTTAACACATCTCCAGTTCTTATAGTATTGAAACAACTCATCCCAAACATTGCATTTAAAGAGTCAGTCTGTGTCAGCAGTTATAATTACATTCATCCAATATTCTAATGCCCTTTACCACTGTGTGATAAAAATTTCACTTTAGTTTTGTTATGAAAATGTCACATAACTTGAGTTTTGCTTTCATGTAAAATTTTGCAATTTCCAAGGGTAAGTAAATGTTTGGAGTCTCAGATGGCAACTCATTGCATGTGACTAGACAACCTTACCATTTAAATTTTACCAATATTTTTTTTATTTATATAAACTATTTCATGAAAACAAAAATGGCCCAAAAATTTCAAGTTGTAAATGATAATCACTGGTTGGATGAGAAACCAATTTCAGAATAAACAGGCTAAAAATGTCCTAATGTTCCTAAGAAATGAAATAATAATTTTCCCCCAAAAACAAATTTCAAATACATTTAAAGAAATGTTAACAATTCAAATAATCTTTCAAACACAATATAAAAACCATTATTAAACTTAGAAAACCTTGATATTGCACAACCACTCAAGATACAAAAAAAGCTTTCCACAACCTCATTTCTTAAGTTATTAGTGGCATTATTTTAATTACATTTAACTTTTATTCCAACAGAACCAAATCTTTTTTTCCCAAAGATTATAAAGATTTTTAAAACATACCTCTCTTGCCCTTTTGTGTAAGAGCTTTGGAGTTGTGACAAGAAATATACTAAAAATGTAGTAATGTATATGTGCTAAAAACAAAATCAAGCAGCTGAATAAATCGTTGGTGTGATTAATCAAGAGATTTCATGAGGTTTTAATGTGATCTTTAATTATTATTATTATTTTTTTTTATGCTGCACACATTTGAATACATTTTTTATGACTACCTTTTAAAACTGAATATTAATTATGTTATTTAAATATGGCGTTCAAGTAGGATCAATAATGACAGTAAGACAGTAACCGAATGCTCTCATGAATAATCTTCTGGAAGAGTTCAGATATTGGCAATATTGTGGCTACATAAAAAAAAAAGGGGGGNGGGAGTCTAGAATGGTGCCCAACATCACAGGTCTGTGGAAAAGAAAAAAAAAGAAAGAAAAGAATAGGAAGTTTAATTAAAGTTTGAAGGTTTCATGCCAACTTTCTTTTCTGTTTTAAATTTTCCTCATATTTTGCATAAATTAAATACATTCTAAAACAGAGACCCTAAAAAAATTAATACATGTTTAGCCATTATGAGAGGTTTACTTCTAGCTTTTAATTTGGACTGTTGTTGGTTAATATAATTTCTTGATAGTGAAAACAAAATCAAATTACCAATTTTACTGCTTGTTTGTGTCTGAACCCAGACCTGTGAAGACAAGAAATGGGATTTGATTATTACATGAGTTTTCAAAGTGACTTTCAAATGTGACTTCACTAGTGAAAATAATATTTTAAAAATGTGTGCCTGATTGGACACAATTTACACTAGATTTCAGGGTTTTATAACAATTTCATTAACAAGGTTTATAATAACAATTTCCTTTTGGTTTTGAATTAATAACTGTTTGTTTAAAATTTACTTCTTTAAATTAAAAGAAAAAAAATTTGTCTCGATAACAATAAAATTTGCCATGTAAACCTAACTGAAATAGCTTTGAATCTTTCAGACAAGATGAATTTTTTTTTTCATTGCTTTTATATATTTAAAAAAACTACGGGGTACCTGGATTATATTATGTTATCTAAAACACATGCACTGATCACAAAGTTAAATGTATAACACACATAAAGTTATTCAACGAGAGTTTAGGTTTATACACTTGGAGACAAGCAGAAAGAAGGGCAATAAAGTAAAGGAAACAAAAAAGCGTGGTTTTCCACAATTGGTTAATTTTAATGATGGGGAATGATTTCACATGATTTCTATCTAAATAACCAGCATGCCAACATTTAAAAAAAAAAAATCGACAAAGAAATTAAAAGCATCACAAAACCAGAAAGCTTAAGATAAAATAAAAATACACAGATGATAACTTTCATTCATAGTAAAAAAAAATATTTTTTAGTATTTTGAGCGAAAAAATAAAACTCAAAATGAAATAAGATAAGGCGCTAACAATGCCAGCCACATCAACTGTTATCTCACTTCCTATGCCATGCAGTATTAAAAAAAGAGTGAGTTTATTTAAAGTCATTGTATAATTTCATTTGAATTTCATGCAAAGAAATAGGAGGAAATATTTACAGTACAATACAAAAATATTCTTTAAAAAATAAATATTACATATTGTTGGGTTTTTTAAAAATAATGTAGGATAGGGTATTTTGCAATTATAATTTTCTGAAGAAAAAAAATAGTACTAATCTTTTCTTCATAAATGACAGCCCAATGGCTTAAAGTCATATCTTTTTTAAAATCATGATTAAGTTTTTATTTTTTAACAAATTTTAATTACACAGATAATCCACACTTTAAAAATACATTAATTTTGATTCCACTTCGTTTTGGAAATTTGAAGTACTGTATTATCAATAAACTTTAAAAAAGGAACCAAAAAAGAAAACAAACAAACAAAATGCCAAAGGGTATAATGTGTCCAGATGATTTTTTTTTCCTACCAGCCCATTTTAACAATAATCAAAAACAGCAGTTAACAATTTTATTTTTTTTTTAAAAACTTAAATAAAACATTTCTGAAATACTCCTTTTACCAGAGGGAAATATGTGGCAAAGGTAGTTAGCAGTATGACTGTTGGCACGTTTTCCTTTCTCTAAAGAAACATAAGACACATTTATTTATGCCACATTCCATTATTTCTCATTTGGCCTAAAATATTTTAAACTTATACTAAGTTTATAAATTTAAAACACCTGTGAATATTGCCTTTAAGAATTATAGGTTCCTGGTTAACAAAATATTCCATGGTGAAGAATTTTAAAATTATTAAAACTTGATTAGTTGTTCTTTTTTTAAAATTAGTATAAACAAGAATTAGAAGAAGAGAAAGGAAGTGCATGCAAGGTGTCCACACAAATTTTTTTTTTTTTTTAAAGTACAAGTTTTCACAAATGTGTCATGGTCTTTTTGATTTTAAGAAGTTTCTTATCTAAAATAATTGTGATGAAGATATTTTTTTTTAAACACTACTAGTGAATTTTATTGTATTGTGCAGCCCACAAGCATTGGAATGTAAATTTAATCACGGTTTTTAGTGAGGCACAACATCAAGTGAATGAGAAACACTGTCCCTAGCTGTGCAGCCACCAAATTAAAGAAAGACAAATTAATTTTTTTTGTTCATAGCAAGAATACTCCAGGTTTCATTGAGTCCCTCTCACCCTTATCTCTTGAGCCATTCATCAGTGATCTTCACTCTCACTCATATCTCTTGAGCTATCCAATGTTTTTCTTACAACACCTTCTTTTAGGATTTCTGAAGTGCTGCCAAAATCCATTAAAGATTTTTTTTCTTGAACAGGGGAAAGAGGGGCATGTTGAGAGAAAGTTGCTTGAATACTTGGGAAAATACTGTCAGTGGACTTGTCTGGCGTTGATCCCTGTGAAGATGTTTTTGAGCAACGCTGTGCCTGCTGAGTCACAGTTAAGCTGACCAATGAATTTTGTTTAGTTGAGGCCTGCCCTGCAATTATTTTCCAATTTTGATTCATCTGCGTCTCTCCCTGGTTTGAGCTGGTCCTTCCAATAATTTTTTTGAGGTTTTCTAACGTAAAATTTTGCTCTGGGCGTTGGAGAGTTTTGAGAGGTGATAGCTGATCACATGGTGCATTCACACTTTTAGAAACTGTGTCTGAGCTGACTTTGTCTATCTTCTGAGCAACTGATAGCTGTGATATTGGAGGGGATGATATAATTATATGCTGCTTTGTCACAGCAGGTGAGGCTGAAGACTTGTGCTGCACATGAGGCAAGAAATGTTCCCAGGTATTTATCACGCTGTCTTTTTTTGACTGTGCTGCTAAGTTGTTAGAGGCTGGCTGACTTCCAGCATGAGCTCTATTCATTTTTGCTCCATCAACAGTCGTGTTTTGATTTATAGCTAGCACTTTATTCTCTATTGCCTTTGAAAACTGAAGCATTTTCCAACTCTGAAGAGAAGAGTTGGAGATGTTAATATTGGACACTTTTCCAAACCCCTTCTCAACTTTGTCAAAAAGTTCATCTTTTCTCTGCAAGATCAGAGTTCTGTCCATATTTGGCCTTGGCTGAGACAGCTGTGCTTTCTCTGGGGTATCTTGCACAAGAGATCGGCCATGTTTTAAAGGGCCATCAGTGGCCTTGTTGAACTCATTAAAATTAAGTTTGGCAGATTTACCTGTGTCTCTGACTGTAGCAGGCTTCATTCCTGCAAGCAGAGATTTCAGAATTTAGGTGTCATTCATGAATGACTTAAGCCAGCCAATGATGAGTGGGAAATGAATTTGATCACCCAATGATGGAATGAATTTGATCAGCCAATGATGAGTGGGAAATGAATTTGATCACCCAATGATGGAATGAATTTGATCACCCAATGGTGGAATGAATTTGATCACCCAATAGTGGAATGAATTTGATCACCCAATGGTGGAATGAATTTGATCACCCAGTGATGAAATGAATTTGATCACCCAATGGTGGAATGAATTTGATCACCCAATGGTGGAATGAATTTGATCACCCAATGGTGGAATGAATTTGATCACCCAATGGTGGAATGAATTTGATCACCCAATGGTGGAATGAATTTGATCACCCAATGGTGGAATGAATCATGATAAACAATTTATTTAAACTATATCCAGTTTCACAACATTTTTCCTGGGAGCTGATCTTAGAAATGACCATGAACATTGGAGGGATGCTCTGGACCCACTGGTGTGTTTAACCTAAAGGAAACCTCTGCTTAAAGGACTGATGTCACTAGTCTAGTTTGTGAGTCAAGGAAAAAATTGTTATTTTGATAGAAAAAAACTCCTTTTTTCTTTTTTTATATATTATTCCCATCCTGTGGTGAGATGTGCAGAAATTTCAAGTTAAGGCAAATGCTTACAGAAAACCCAACCAACTTTCCCTTGCTCTGAGGAACTAAAGGTGTGAAGTACATTGAATGTGATCAGCCATCATAACATTCCCAAAACCCATTATATCATCACAGGGTCAAGAATTCAGTCATAGTTTCACACACCATGTCATTAACATATAAGCATCTACAATATTGTAATAGTAGTCTATTACTTCACTACTTCAAAAAAAAAAATCAATCTTTACTCCACATTTGATTAAGTTTCTTCTTTAACTTACTACTGTGTGGTCTCCGGAAAAATCAACAAATAATTAATGAGTGCATGGGGGTAGGGCACACAAGTAATTTAAATTGGGAGCTCCTAGATAAATAGATTTCATAAATATAGCTTTTAGAGGGGGGGGGGGAAGAAGAGAACCCATATTATAACCAAATTGAGAGTAGTAGAAGTATATATAATAAATAATTTTGAAGCTAGGATTAAAATGAAATTCATATAGTTATTATTTGTTGAGCACTAGCTTGGTGGTGTCACATTCAATATTCCATACCCTTGTGGAGAACATCTGGATCAAAATTCAAATTTTTGCCTCAGATTGCCTCAGTTGCAATAACTACAGCCATAAACATTAAGAACAGATCCACTTGAAGTAAAAAATAAAAGGAACCTTCAAAGCTAAGATGAGATTCAATAACAATAACTTTAAAACAAACATTTATGTAAAACTAGTTACTGAACCTTAGACTTATCAACATTTAAGTAAATTTTTTTTTACTCCAAGTTGTAATATTACAGAAGTGATATTTTCAGTGGCCAATTAAAAAGAGATACCTTATTTTACAGTTGGTTTCAGTTGTCGTTTTTATGGGAAAACAGTGTTTGGAGGTGGGTACATTGAATGGATACAAAACCATCAACAGAGGTTCATTCATACATCAACTTTTAGCAAAGAAAGGAAATAGGAAGAACAAAAAAGTACAGTGAATAAACAAACAGAAAGACAACATTAATTCTAGGCCAAAAAACCACCAAAAAAAAAACACAAAAAAAACAGACATATATGAAAATGATCAGATTTATTTATAAAAATTTAAAACCATTTCACTTACCTAAAAAGCCAGCGTTCGCAGAAGCACTGCTGTAATTTAAAGCCATGGCCAGATTTTTTAGAGCCTGACCTTCCATGGCTTCCTGATGGCGGACCTGGGACTGGATTTGTTCATAGAGCGACAGAGCAGCATTTTCTGGGGACATGGGTGATTTTTGTGGAGATGGGGTACTGCCTCGCGACTGGGAAATTAAAGGACTGCTTTGTAACAAACCTGATTGAATGACAGGAGATGATGTAGAGGAAGACTGTGGAAATTTCCTAGGTGGCGATGACTGGTTGATTGTTCCTTGTGAGCTAGACTGTTTACCACTTTTCACATCAGAATTAGCACGAATGCCCAGCTGAGATGGTGTACCTAGCACACGCATCACCTGCAAATGAGATTTGTGTGTCATGTTAGGAGCTCCTATAACAGTTGCAGATTTCAACTGCTGGTTGGAAGAGTGCTGCATTCCACTGAGGTAATTGCTACCACCAGTAACTGCCGGGCTGCTGTTTCTCTGCTGCATGTGTAAATCTGGTTTGGAAGACATCCCTGGATGAAAAGAAGAGATGGTGCCCGCCCTACTGTCAGGTGCCGGATGGTAGTGACTCGGAGAGTTTAAATTTGTGGAACCTGAGCTGGTGATCTGCTGCCTTTTTTTTGATGCATTATTTTGTTGGGTTTTCCCTGTGGTAGGACTCAGTGACACTGCGGCCCGTTGCATTACCTGCTTTTGAACCAGTTGTGTCAATTTGTTATTTTTGTCAATTAATGTTGCTGAATGCTTATGAGAAGGTGTGGACACCTTCCCCCCTGCTGGGCTGGTATTATTCCATGAAGAGTTTGGAATATCCTTGTTCACAGCTGAAGATGACGATCTGGCTGCTGCCTTTTGCTGCTGAGAGATGACAACCTTTTGTTCCTGAGGTAGTTTGTGCTGCGTTGACACCATCTGCGGTTGAACAACAGGTTTACTCTGTAAACTTGGGGCTTTCTGCTGAGATTGGTGAGAATTTACTTTTGACTGAGAGGAACTTGGAACTACAATGCTGTTTTGATGTTTTTGTTGGGATTCCACTGGTGTCAGAGAGGAAGTGGAGTCAGGTTTTGTGTAAGTGTTAGCAAATGACTCAAAAGCAGAAAGAAATGAACGACTGCTGACTGATGCTCCTGGTGTCTGAAATTTAAATAATATAAGATCTTTCAGAGGCAATAAAATTTGTAGACACAAATATATACTTATTAAAGCAGCAATTCCCTGATTTGGTAAACAATTTTCAAAATGGCACCAGGGACTGGTGCCAGATTTAATTATATTTTCTTTTTATTTGACAGTTAATATTTATGTTATGTGGACTGACAACCAAAAGACCATTGTCTGTTGGTGGACCACCATTGGGGAACGTTGTATTAGAGTATAATAAATGCAAGCAGAGCAGTTTTCCTAAAACTTTAAATTAACATCACACAGATGCTGCGAAACGAAATACCCAGCGGACAGACAAATCAACAAAAAAAAATCTCTTTTAAACCTAGGTGTCTTCATTTAGGTTTCCATCTTGGTTTTGGTTTACCCAGCCACACCTAAACCAGGTTCAGGCTAACTAAATATATATATATATATATATTAGATTTGAGGGAGAGTAGTATTTCCTTTGTGTTACTGAGGGCTTTTAATTTGAAAATTGATTTAGGGGTCATAGGACATTCAGAAAAAGTATTGAGTTAAAAATTTCTTTGTAAATAAAAAAAAAAAAAATAAAAAAAGTGAACTAAAGGAACCAAAAAGGTGTCTTCAAAATTTTCTCTGAGTCAATGTGCCAACTTTATAAGACTCATAATTGATTTTTTGAAATATCAATTGCAGAAACTGGTCATCTTCACACAACTGCTGATAAATGAATAGTTTTGTCATGACCTGTGTGAAGCGTGCTTTTATCACAGGGTTTCCTAAGTAAATACCAAAGAGACTGATTGGAAATAGAAGAAGACCTAAGACTAAAAATAATGTCACATTTTCCTCATAACCCAGAATTTTTAGTTAGCAAGAAAAGCATCACACTTCTCTGTAATAAAATAATTTACAATGTTTTAGCTTAATTTAACTGGTTTTTTTTTTTGGTGGGAATAAATGGTTCTTAATCTAATATATGAAAGCTGCTGTGACATTCCAATCTGTATTATGTAAACTAAATGCCAGTATTAATGATTAAAAAACGTTAGTAAGTCATTCATAAAGCATAAGTGGTAAAATAAACAAACTCTGAGGAAAAAAGAAAGTTTGGGAATGGCTGCTGTATAAAAATATCACACAAACTTTGGCTAAATGGTTGATTACAGGGAGGGAAAGTTTTCTATGTACTGCTCACAACAGTTTGACCATGAACAACATCAATCCCCATTATTGAACTGCCCTATGGGTATTCATTACCACACTTTGTACTTTTCAGTTAACAGATAGTCTTAAAATCACATCTGATGACATATTTAAATACTACCTGAGTGTAGTCAGGTGTGGTTAGATGTTATACAAAATATGCTGTGAATAGTCAGTGTAAAATGACCTTATTTTAGAACCTACTAAGCTAATCATAGAAAATTTCACATCATTCAAATGTTTAAGGTTGGCTGTTTGAGTGACAAGCAGCATCTAAGCCCATAATTGTTATCATGGCTATAGACCTAGAAGATTACATGGTATACTTAGATTAGATGGATTATATATGATACATCCTGTACTAAAGATTAGATGGATTTTATATGATACATCTAGCATTTAGTAAGCAAAATGCCCAAACAAACTTTTCACATGGATTATTATCCCTTTAGATAAACGGTTCTCAACCTGTGGGTCACGACCCTTTCCCAGGGGTCGACTAAGACCATCTGAACACACATATGATCTACAGTTATGAAGTAGCAAAGAAAATAATTTTGTAGCTGGGGGGTTGCTGCATTAGGAAGGTTGAGAATCACTGCTTTAGATTATAATCTTCATTAACAATGACTGCACATCTTTAGGACTCTTAAAAAAAACTGCCTTACTGTAATTAATCAAAATTTGTAAATCTCTAAAAGCATGACTGAAATTAAAAAGATAGATTTAAATATGCAACATACTGGACTTGTATCACCAACTGCAGAACTTGCAATAGGGCTTGAGCCACCTTGAGGAAATGGTTTGGCTGAAGTGGACCTTTGAACTGATGGTGACATAGGGGTCGCAGCCGATGGAGAGTTCTCTGAAATTTGAACAGGTGTAATCCGTTTTGCAGATGCATTGTTTGTGGATTCATTATACTTTGGAGGAAGACTGACAGAACTTGGAGGCGTCAGAGCAACCCAGGGCTGGCCTGCCTGCTTGCCAGAAGGCTTGTTGTTGTGGGCACGTCCAAAAGCAGAGAAGGCATCTGAATGAGAGGAGTCTGACAGGTTTGATGTTGGGGTGAGTGTTGTGAAGTTTGACAGTGGCTTGACATCAGAGTTGGGCAGGTTCACCACCACGGTGTCTGTCCTGTCGTCAGTTATCTCAATGACATGCTCCGTTTTTGAGACGTGGGTGGTGTTTAGTTCCTGTAATGAATGCCCCACATCTGGTGAAGGGGATGATGACCTTGCCGGCGCTGTTGCCTTTTTCTGTTTGGATCTATGGAGAAATAAATATGTATTAGTAAGTCTAAAAGTGTTTACACTCATCAAATGAAATGGTTCCAAGTACAATATGAAACAGTTTTTTTAAATAAATTAAAACTCGAACTAAAAAACAATTTAAGAATACCATGAAAATTTTTCTGTGTGCATAACAATTCTGAGGAAGCAATACCTAATGGTACTTAAATATATTTAAGTGTGTAGGTAATTTATAAAAGATATTTTTTACCTCAGTATTTTTATGTTTTATTTGTTTGTCTAGACTTAAATAAATGGAGATTGAAATACAATAAGCAACAGAAATATAACAATCTTGCACAGTAAAATGCACACACGCTAGTTGTCATCTACTCACTGCTGAGTCCCCCTTGTCAGTTCTTCATGGGCTGCTCTGCTTTCTTTGAACAGCATTCTGGACAGAAACATTTCAGAAAATTTTAAAAGAAGGAAAATATGGTGAGAGAAAAACCACAACCAAGGCAACATTAAAAAAAAAATTTTTTAAAGGATATCTTGAAATGTTTGTTGCTTTCAATTGATTATGATTTTCTACCTGGTCTGCATCCAGCCTTGTGGCCAGATTGGTTTAATATCTGAGTCAAGATACGCTTTCAGGTAGTCTTCTGCCGATTGATTTCTAGTCTTAGAGGCGTTGAACAGTTTCATCTTTCTTGAGACAATTTCCAGAAGTAAATCTCTGCAGATGAAAGTGCAAAAATTATTTAAAGCGACAAAACTAAGAAAAAAACATTCATGTATTAAAAATAAATATTTATAGATATCAAACTTTTTCAATTTTCTTCATAAGAGAAAAATTAAATTAAATACATATTTGTTATTTATTTTTACAACAAGAGTAATTTTTAAATAATTACACATTTATTTTTTTTAAATCAGAAGGATAGAAAAACACACAACACTGGCAATCCAACTAAATGTTCTGAGTTTTTAGAAATGTTACAATGGGCTGTATCTTAAACACTGAAGAGTACTACTTTTTTAAAAAATGTTTAAATTAGCTATTTTTAGAGAAAAATGAGATTCTTAGCGTATGATACTAACTTTGTTTCTTTGGTCCATTGGAATTTTCTCCTTGGTCCACGGGTCTTCTTTTTGTTTTCAGATTTTTCCTCTTCATCACTCTCTGTTGATGCCTCTTCTTTGGTGGTCTCTGGCTTACCATCATTCAGTTCAGCCTCTGACCTGATACAGAAAAAAATGTGAACAGAAATATATCAAACTTCACTCAAAATGTTGTGTTGAGGCTCACACTCCAAACTTTTGTTTTGAAACACAAAGCACAAAACAGAAGAAAGCAGGTAAAAATAATCCTCAGAAGGCTAAGTCCAAGTATTGGCTCTCATTAATTTTAAAAGCAATTATACAAAACTGATGTTCCAGTAAATTATTAAGAATAAAGTTCCAGTTAGTTTTACCCATAGAGGGCAAACCACTTACTTGGCCTTGGCAACATCCTGTTCATGCTGCTCTTCTAGGGCTGGCATTTCTTTCATTATTGCTGAGCAGTGAATAAAAATACTCATTAAAAGAACATAAATTCTAATTAAGATGCATACTGACATATTATGATAACTCTTAGGCAAGTAATGAAAGAGAGCATCTCTTTATAACAAAATTTAGTTACACATTTTTTGGACTAGGCCTGCTATACACCAGTACAAATTAACCCTTTCCGCCCAAATTTTTTTTAGGATATTTTGTCTTTTAAGCGATTACTTTTGTACTAAGCCAAATAATGCCAAATGAAGCCAAAACAAAGACTTCATAGGTAAAAATTTATTCAGGAATGCAGTTCACAAATAAATGGGTTCAAGTGTGTGTGTGTGTGTATATATATATATATATATATATACAAATTGTATCCCTAATAAATTTTAAAAACTAAGTAATAAAATGAAAGAAAAAAAAAACCCAAAACACTTAGACCCACCATCCTTGAGCTTCTGTGTAGGCAC